GTGTGTGTGTGTGTGTGTGTGTGTGTGTGTGTGTGTGTGTGTGTAAAAGAGAGGACACGGTTTTCACGCTGCACGTGCCGAGGAGATAATCCTTCTGTTCAGAAGAGGCGAACCCTTAAATCGTAGAGCGAGGATGACTTTGCACTTCAGCGAAATCAGCCTCCATCTCCCCGCGAAGCTTAATGAGTTCACGCGGCGAGGGCACTTTGTTAATTATGCAGAGGGGAGATAACGGACGACAAAGATGAAGCACTACTTCTCTTAACTGTCAGGTGGTTTGAGTGTGAGGAGTTCGTTCAGGCTGACTGACACGTCTGAAAGCTGTTAGCCTGACGGAACAAATGTACACGAGTGTGTGTGTGGAGCTGGATCAGCACCAACAAACTACACTTTGAGTATCAGTTGGTTTGATAACATGTTTTCTGTTGTCAGTCTCCTACAAGCGAGACCTCTTAGTGCTTTGTAATTTTTATAAAAACAATTCGCATAATTACTAGGTTTTAAAAGTTTTTCCCCCCTGATTTTATTTTTGTTTTATTATTAGTAAAGTGTAAAGACAAAAAAAATTCTGCCAAATTGCTTTGGCACTAAAGCCTCACCCAGCATGCAAGAAGAGAGAGAGCCAGAGCCTGTAAAACTGATCTGGAATCTCAGGGTTCAGGAAAGGCAACAGTCCACAGACATCATCCATGCAGGGCACCTGAGGAAAGACAAAATACGAAAACATATGAGTCTGCGTGCTGCAGCTTTTAAAAGATAAACGTGACGCATGAAAAACTATAAAACTCAGATATTTCTACACAAAAAAAGAAAAAGTCTTTTATTTCGGTATGAACGGTTTGGTTTACTTGAGAGCAAAGAGTCGCCTCCTCGTGAAAGTAGCCCTTCATGAAGTCACAATATTCCCTGGATGTGATTTCACACCTTTAAGGGGTTAAAACAGTTTGTTAGTAAGAACTGGTTTTTTATTTATCATGTTCTGGATCAGCTTGTTTTGAAGTGTTTTCTAAAAAATAATAAAAGTCCCTCACCTCCCTTTGGTTCCGATGCAGCAGGGTCGGCCTGTGATGGTGCAGTCTATGTGAGGCAGGTTGGTGTGGTTCCCTGTGTTGTACCTGGTACAAATCTGAAAAACAGAGAAGACATTCAGTTTGCTGCTWTAACCTATTGCTGTGTCATATGTGTACATTTACAGACCTGAACATCTTAGGAGTAAACTTTACAGCCTTTCACTTCCTCTGGATGGCATTAATTTGGCCTCCAGTTCTAAYRTAAAAAACTTTGGTGGTATTTTGATCAGGATAWGTCTTTTATCCACCACAAACTGATCACATTTCCTCTCTCTTCTGCTGTCTTTAGTCACTCTCCTCTACGTGTTTGTTGTTGTAATTACTTGTATCAATAACGTGTGTTTTCTTTGTCTCTCTTTTAGAAGAAAATACACCTGGATCAGTCCTGTGTTTGTCTGTGTCTCTTTCCTGTCGCCTCAAACCCAGCCGGTCGAGGCAGATGGCCRCCTGTCCTGAGCCTGGTTCTGCTGGAGGGTTCTTCCTGTTAAAGGGGAGTTTTTCCTCTCCACTGTCGCCAGTGTGCTGCTCAGGATGGGAGACTGTGGTGAAGTGATTCAACTCAATCTGCTGGCTTCCTTAGATTGATTGTTTTTGTAAAGTGCCCTAAGACGTTTGTTGTGACTTGGCGCTATATAAATAAACTAAATTGAATTTACCCGCCAACACTGGAACAATTGACACAAGGAATAAAAGTACTCACCGGCCACTTCGTTATGTCATCGGGCCATTCATGAGGCGACACTGAAGCAGGCTCCAGACAAATCCTGAAGAGAAAGCAGAATATGTATTTGCTAAAACATAATACGTCAACAAAAAAAATATTCTGTAAGCTTTGATGTAAAACCTAGTTTGAGGTCTTACCTGGGGTCCTGGTGACACACCGAGCCGTACTGTCTGTCTTTGCCATTTAACTGAGGAGTGCTGGAATGCTGTGGCCACTTCACCCACACAGCTAGAGTACTCTACACAAATGCAAACAAAGATCAGAAATGCCCACGGCTGTTCCACGGGGATGAACTCTAAGAGCGCAGGAGCATGAAATACACACCGAGCATTCCTTCTCTGAAGTTTGGACGCAGCCAGAACGATCGTTCCGAACACAGCAAGCAGAGTTGCGTTCGATAGCTTTCTTTTCCCTGATAAGATCGTGCACCTGCCTGTCCTGTCGCATGCATGGAGAATATTTGGCCCCTAAGTGGATCAGGGCCTCCTAAAAACATACAGATAAAAAGGCAGATAAGAACAAATTAAACGGAGCGTTGTACACATCAGAGGATTTACTAAGAAGGGGTGGAGTGGTACTTACTGAACTAGGCCCGATCCAAAAGTTCTCCTGCTGTACGAACTTGACATTTTCGTAGACACCTTTGTTTCTTAAAACCTATTTCCATTGACATCCAAATATAAAAAAAACAGGCACAAATCAGTATTAAAACACTTGTGGATGAAGTGAAAATATGTCAGGCCTTAGATAAAAATGATCACTCACAGAATCAACAGTTTCATGCTGAGAAAAGCCAACTGGTGCTATTCCATAGATGCAAACAGCCAATATAGTGATGAGTAAATGGACAAAGGTGATCCAGTATGTAAAAAATGGCCTAATAGAGGCAGAAAACACATTTTATAAATAACCTTTGTCCTTCACTGTCAGTTTGTCCTTATTGAAAAAGATGTGAGGGGAGCTGCCGTACCTGTGGTCATCCATATCCTCTATCTGTCTCTTCACGTAACTATCTATTCGCTTCCGGTAGGTGCGGTTTGTGAGCTTTCCCACCATGCCCAACCCGTACGGCCTCTTTTCACGAGCGAAAAGCTTCTTGACGGGTACGACGATGCGCTGTCCACGCCGCTGTCCGTGAACGCTCACCACCTCCTGACGCAAGGGTACCTTTGGTGGTCCTGGGGTTCCTTCTTTGGCTTTACGCCATCCTCTTTCCAGGGGTCTATAAAACAGGCAACAAAAGAAAAGATCATTTTAAGAATGGAAGCGCTTATTGTTTGTTTGTTTTTTATTCATCAGGTGATTTTATTATATAGGATTTTCGGAACTTGCTTGTAACGCCACCCTGTCATCTAATATTTCACCAAAGAAATCCAAGAGGCAATTTTCATCTCAATGAGAAATCTTGTGATCTCCTGGCAGCCCAGCTCCAATAACAACTCCCCTACAGTAACTCACAGCATGAGGTGACTTCTCTCCAGCTCTGTCTTATCTAAGGCGCTGCCCGTCAGCTCCTTTTCATCCTTCTTGGAGCTGGGGTCCACCTCTTTGATGGCCATCTCAGATGGTGACTCAAACACCTCGTCGGCATACGTGGACATCTCCTCTTGCATCAGGATATCCTAAAACACAAACAAGAGTTACACAGTAACAATGGAATAAGGAAACAAAACCATTACTATAAACTGCTTTTCAAGCCTTACTCTTGCAAAGAAAGACGTGTCCAGCTCATCGGGAAAGTCAACCATGTCTTCCTCCACGAAGCTAGCGGGAGTGAAGCTTCGCCTCTGAGCTCGCCTTAGAGTGCTCTCTCGTAATGAGCGGCCCTGAAAGATACAAAACAAGCACGTGCAAATACAAAATTGTTAAACAAAATAACGAAACGTTCAATTAGGATATTTTTTATACGTCCTTAGAGAAACGTCACCTTGACCAACGCCGCCGCAGCCCTGAAGCTCATCTTTGCCACCGACTCCCTCTTACGCCGGCGAGGCAGTCGGTTGAGACCTGAGCGGGAACTGGTGAAGGAGCAAAGCGACGCGGCTCCGGGAGTGATGGGGGTCTGAGGCACGCTGTAGCCGTCCACTTCCTCCACCATGCGAAAGGCTCGTCCACGAGCCAACGGGTCCACAATCTGGAGACCAAGACAAGTTCTCATCACAAACCAACAGACGTAATTTACAGGCCGAAATTCAACATTGATTCAACAAATAAATCATATATGCTGATGTGCACAAAARCATCAAGTATAATCACAGTAAGACAGTCAAATTTCTTAGTAAAGCAGTTTACCTTTTGCATGCCATGTTGTGAAGAGGGCACGTAGAGAGGAGGTGGGGTCTCAGTGCTGGTCAGCGAAATGTTGTCCTGGCTTGGCAGATCCATCTCTCGGATCACTTGTGGTTTCAGTTTTCCATAGCGGAGGCTGCAGTGCCGCAGACTCTTCCTCTGCCATTTCTGGGTGGTGTCGCCATCTTTACTGACCCCAAACCAGTCCGCTGTTCCCCTAAAGCCAGAAACATAAGCTTGCATTTATTTGCAAAAATAGGCATCTGCACCCTACATTCTCTTAGAGCCAAACACTGATGATTATAAAGGATCCTATAAACGCAGAAAAAAAMCCCCACAGATCCCAGGTTGTAGGAAAGCTCTAGCTAGTCCAAGTGGTGGGCAGAGTGTGGGGAACAAGCCTAGGCATGTCTACATCCAAACACATTGACACACTGAATTTCTGCTTATATCAAAAAAAGGTATAGATGTTGCAAATAAAATACAGATTTCCCTATTCTCAGTTGGCACCAGCAGACAGAAAATCCAATTAACTTTTTATTTGTGTCCTCCACTTACATTCTAACACCCTCCCTCCCCAACCAAAAAAATAAAAAATAAACTTCATGTATGCACACACRGTAATTCTGTTGAAGTGGAAGCCTAATGAGCACCAGAGCAAACAAAGTTACAGCTCCCCAAGGCCAGGAAGTGGAAGTTGAAACATTCTTCAAAGCGAAGCTCGGGCAAGCTGGCTCGTTTCTCCACTAATTACAAGCTGCACAATGAATGCTACGAGGCTCACAGCTAAGAAAATATCCATCAGCGCTATCACMAAGAAGTTGACATAGGACAACAAACTTAGTGTCTATTCTTGCAGCAGAGATATGACTTGTTCCAGTGGATTTGATTAAGGTCAGGGCCTAACCTTATCTAATTGATCTGGTGTACGGTCCTTCAAAGGCTGGCCCAGTAACAAGCATCATTACAAAGCAACAACAGCCTGTGGTGGACTCTGTTCTACAAAGTGGTGAAGAAAAAAAAAGGGACCCCTCCAACTACTGAAATGACTCAGCTCTGAATAAATGTGACTTTGTAGCAAAAGGCAAGCTTTTGGTTTCGAATGCTTTTATGACTCACATAAAAAGAAATATCTGTGGGAACGTGACTAAGAACCAACATCCAGTGAGTGAGAAAAAGAACAATTCCTTATTTACTCGTGGTGGAAAGCCACTTCCCATCGTACCTGAGCAGAGTTCTGGAGAGAGAATGGTGTTTCCTGACGCTGCGGCGGGCAGCCCGGTGCCCCTTAACAGGCACAGTGTTAATCCTTTCAAAGTGCACTCGCCTGCTGCTGTGACCCCGGCAGGGCAGGAAGGTGGCAAGAAGAGACAGAGAAAAGAAGGTGGAAAAAAGAAACAAAAACAGGAAGTGACAAAGGAAAAAAAAAATGCAGCCGGACAGTGATGTAGCCATCTTCATGCAGAAAGAGCGAAGCAGACTGTTAAGCTTTGTCTAGGCTTTAAAGGGATCCACGATTAGTTGTAACTTTAGACTTTATTTGATAAACGTTTATTTTAACTGTAAAATAAAGACTGTAAAAATACAGTAGGCTGTTTAGTTTTTATAATTTTTAAATTAAATTTAAAAAATATATTACACGGACTGAGCCATTTTATATACACGCAAAGCCTTCTGAGTAAATGATGACGTCGATAGTTTTTTTTAATTTACAAAAATGAACATCCTACAGTATTTTTACAGTCTTTATTTTACAGTTGAAAATACGTTTATCAAATAAAGTCTAATGTTACAACTAATCATGGATCTCTTTAAAAAGAAGTTTTATTTAGATTGCATGATGTTAATCACAAAGTGTTGTGAAATTTGAAAAACAGGTAAAGACAGAAACATTGTAGTAGTCAGGAGAAGTTTATTTTATATGCGAAAGGATAGCTTGCAACCTTTTTTTGCTTAACTCAGGAATCTCAAAATATTTATAAAACGTAATTGTCAAACTTAAGCGCCCAGTATGCTCCAAATGAACTGCCGAAATTGCCTCTCTTTGTCGCAGTAGAATGACGAAAATTGCGTCATTTTGTTCACGTCTTCGACTCTTCAGCCCCTTCTTGTCACAAAGCCCCACCCCCCTTATTGTGTGATTGGTCAGAAGTTCTTTGGCACATTTTTTTTCAAGCCTAAAGACGCTGCATTTTGCATCAACTACTCACTTCCAGAATGCGACTGTTGTACCGGATAAAGATGGTCAAAAAATCATGGATGGAGATAAAACGGACGTTAGGAAYGTGGGTGGATCTGTCTGACAAAAACTGTGGAGCTTTAACTGGCACAGATTTGTGGACAAATACAGCGGATATTAGAGTTTTGTCTTTTTTCCCCCTCTGCAGTGTAGACTCCACAGATACCACAGCAGGAGGTGTGTGCAAAATGAACTTCGTTCAACCACACGACCGTGCATTGTTCAGTCGGCTGCCAATCGACCATACTGGGCACTTAACTCCTATCTTTAAACATCATATGTTTGGTAGTCTGATAAATATAGTATTTTTTGGTGTTTTAATTATAAAACAGGAGAGAACTTAATGAGAAAGTGATGTTATTTAATGGCTCGAGTGTTTTTGTAGTTCCTCTTACCTCTTTATGGTCTGCGTAATGGACGACTGGCGTTGAAAGACAGGCCGCCGGGTGTCAAAGAGCTCACGCGGTGGAGACTGGAGGTATGACGTCTCCACCGGCATGCTGATACTGCGAAGGAACCCCTGCCTTTTCACCGGCTGCGCGGGGAAAAGATGCWTTGGGTTATGCGCGAACACAAATCACGCCATACAGCAAATGACGATGGGTGATAAATATYGAGGAAAGGCATTCAGTAAGGGAGAGCACCTGAACAAAAGTAGGAGGCTCGTCTAGTGACATCTGAGCCGTGGGAATGTCCAGCCGGAGCCAGGGAGGCTTCTTCCTCTGCAGGCTGCTGGTGCTTTCCCGCCGTGGTTCAGCCATCTTCTCTGTCTCACCCCAGGCCTTCCAGCTACACAGACAGAGACGYACACTGTAAATACTTGCAATTCAGAAAAAGAGGGGGAAAAACAAATTAAATCACAAACAGACTTGGAGCTGACTTTTGTGATGCAGARCTGTTTCACAAGAGGGTGCTAAGGCCCCTGTTTGATTCAAACTGATTTCTGCTTTCTGTTTACTAGAACTGATGAGAACACACAGCTGGTAACTACCTCCCAGAAAATTGTTATTTTTAAAAAGCCATTTGTAAGCGTGTTGGAGAGAGAGAGGAAGTTTGCAGTGTTAACCATAATCTCTTAATTCTCACTTTCATAACAGTCTTGATTCCTGTAGGTGGTTTAACGTAGCTCTGCTCCCGGTGGACTTCTATCAGACACTAATGACTGTGTACGCATTCCCAGGACGAGGCCCGCGGACCACATAAGGTGCTCAGAAAATCTCAGCATCAAACAGACTGTCTGTAACCGCAGCCCAACATTTCACTGTGCCAACAACCTCCCTTCTCCAGGGTTGCTTCCTGACATTTTCCTCTTTAAAACCAAATTAAAAGAATAATCAAAGTCTTTATGAAAACACAAATAAATTCAAATGCCTTTGTCACATTAACCAGTGACTTTCATCAGGTCACATCCCCGCGTCTCTAGTTACAACTCAAAGCTCTTCGCAAAAAAAAAACAACAACATCCAAGGCATTTAGTGACCACATCTGTTTCACATTGGCATTTAAATGCACCACAGGCTTCTGTTTTAGTCCATGTGATGACGGGAAGTGTTGTCTGTGGATCTCAGCGGAGGCGGAAGGAAARCCTCACACAGAGGTCAGCAGGGGTCATAACCAGCGTGGTAATGATTCAAAGTGGTCCAAGTCACTCCGTCCGCTACTTTCTTTATTAAAAGTCTATAGAGATGAAGAACAGTGGGGTAGCTTTTATATTACGACAAAGGGAAAGTTTTACAAACTGCTAAAAATATGGAAAAAAAATAGGATGCCATTAAAACAAGTAACGGCGCTTTAGATTGGAGAATGAGGGCAAGCACTGTGAATTTTCTCTTTGTTCAGCATACACAAAATGATTTGTGATTATTAACTAACCACTAGATTAAAGAACTAAATAAACATGTTAAAGAGGTCCTTATCTCTCACAGTGATCAGTTATACAAAATTATAAACGCGACACCAGAGTCACATCTTCAGCAGGATTTATTCTTGTAACAACAGCACCATCTTGCTCCAGGCAACATTTAATTACTTTTGCCATGAGTTCAAACAGCAGACTCCCTGATATAAAACAGATCTGCAGAAAAGGGGGGAAAGAGCATCGGCTTGATATTTGGAGAATGAAACAGGCTGAGACTCAAGTCACAAACTTCCTATGTTTCAGTCTGATCTCTCTGAATACTGCTCTTGTGGCTCCTTCCCTCCAAAGAGCGTGGAAGCTCTGGTGGAAGTAAACTAAGCTGACTTTTACGGCTCATTCACCGAGGTTCTTCAAATGCTTTAGGCTTTTTTTTTCTTTTCTTTTTTTTTTTTTTTGGTCTCACGTCTCCTTGTTTTTTGCTTTTCTTTGTGCAGATAAGTACAGAAATATCTGCTGTCAACTTGCAAGAGAAACTAAACCCACATACTTTAAAAAAACATTTGACACCAAGTATGTAAATTGATAAGATAATAATCTTAACAAGTGTTATTAATATATCAGAATGATGTGAAGAGAGGGGGAAAAAGACTGTACAAAGGTTCTGAAAACCCTGCCAGAAACTCTGACACTAAAGCATTATAATAATAAGCATGCTGCTATTGTTATGGTTCCCCTAAAAGCCTGCTGATCGGTAAGAGCATTTGGTGACAGCCCAAGGTAAACCTCCCACGTTCACCAGACAGCAGTGCCAAGCGCCTTGGTAGTCTGCCTCTTTTCCTTCTCTCTTGTCCTCTTCCAAAGTCAACACAGCAATAAAACTGGCATTTTCCTGAAACTCGTGTCTGAGGAGGAGTTTAGCTGGAACAGTTGGCGCTCTCATCACTCAAAACGTGAGCACGGCTGCAAGGGTGTTCCACGCTTCTTTTTTTTTTCTCCCCTCTTTGAAAGTTGCAAATCACAGCTTTGAGAGTGTTAGACCCAAGGCTGGTCCCTGTCTGAGAAAAACTCAATATTATGGGCAGGAAGTCCTTCAGAAGCAGATACCCTTGGGGAAGAAGCAGCGAACTTAGCCTCTGGCAAACATCCAGGCTTAAGGATTAGCTCTTTCCTGATACAGTGTGTTATCTAGCTTTATGTCTGAGAGAGAGGGAGAGAATTTAAAGAAATACCTTGGTGATGCATTGCATACAAGCCAAATAATTCTACTTATTCATTGCTTAGTGAATTCACCATTTCTTATCTTGCTCTCAAGGTGTTTGTCTCTTCGATGTTATGACAACAATTTGATGTAATAGTTTCCCACATTGCTCACATTCCCAGCTAACGTTTCAGACACTCGGCCTCGGTTTATTTTCTCAAGAAGATTTGTTTTACATTGAGATTCACACGTGAAGTGGGAAAGCACCAACATTCATAACGTAGCGTTAAGTCTTTYGAGGCCGGCTTCCTGCTCTGTGCAAAAAACCAACACCTCCCACTGCATCACAAGACCCATGACTCCCCCTGCGTKTGTTGCTTTTCATTCTAGGGCTTCGCTGCCTCTCCGGGACACGTTAGGCAGGAAGGACATGCAAACCAAAGACACGCTGACATCTCTGCAGGTGCTGGGACGTCCGATGRGACACAATGACCGGAGCTGACAGGATTAACCAGTACTCTCCTACTCTGTCTGGGGAGCTACAGTCTGTTACATTATATTCTTCATACAAACTCAGGTTTTAATTAAAACGGGGCCATTATGTATTTTCAAGGCAAATAATTCAATTCTATACCACAATCAACTATCTTCAGTTGCTATAAAAATGCTGTATATATATCAAAAATAACTTTTGACTTTGCATCATAGCTTATCTAAATATCTTGAAATTGGCCTCTATCTCTTTAAGAACCTCCTACCATTTCTGACACTCCCACTTTAGCACATCTTCACAACAATACTTTGGGGGAGGAGTGGTCTGTGGGACGGGAACTTGGCTGGGGACTGAGCGCCAGGGAGGAGCTACAGTAGGTACAAACAGGCGGTGCTTTGTTTGATGAGGGAATGACATTATAACATGACATAAAACTAAAAAACATTGATTTTGCATAATACCCTACCCCTTTAAGAACTAGCATTTCTTGGTAAAGATAATAGATTATATAGGAGAGGCCTATATGTCACTTGTGAAACTTAAAGGGGCAATTATGTAAAATCAACTTTTTTTGAGTTTTATATCATGTTATAATGTTATACTCATAAGAAACATGCCCAAAGCCTTGCTCTGACTCATTCATGCATGTTTGTGGAATCCTGCATCGTTTTTAGGAAGCCATGCTGAGGAGCAAAACGACAGGTGGGGACCAGAAATGCCTTTTGGGACCAGAAACGCCCCTGGGATGTGTCTTTAAGTCGAGCTTCCTCATGGCAGAGCGCCCCCCCACCCCTCCGCCCATGACTCCTGCAGGCTTTCGGGTGAAACTGAAAGTGAAACCTAACTGTCTGCTGAGCTCTCAACATTACCTGTAG